AAGAATGTCTGAAGATGACTGCAGTTGCAGGACTGATTCTCTGCAGAACTCACCAAAGCCCTTATAGCCAAAATGAACACACATTGTGGTAGCAGCAGCAATCTGCATCTCCACGGCTTTCCTTTTATTATTTGCAAACAGTACAACTATTTCAAAAAATGTATTCTACTGATCTATTATTGTACATATCTTACAGTTAACTTCAGAGGCAGCATGGGGAGTGGCATTTTACAACAGGCATAGGTACATGTACATTCTTTATACTAGCATTAGCTCTACACAAATACTGTTCTGCCACTTTACTCAATAAGAAATCAAACTTATTTGACATCTGTGCAAGATTTCTTTGCAAATCAGATAAGGAATTGCATGTTCCACAGAGTCCCTAATCCAGCCCAACTTACTTAAATTGTCCCATCATCTTTCTCCACTTCCACTCCAGAAAGTAATCAAAGTTAACAAAGGGCTTTGATCTAGTCACTGATGTCTGGAAGCTATAGATGATGCACGAGCAGTATACAAGTAGACATAGATGAATAATAAGCACAAAACCACCTTCTGCTCTTTCTTTCCAAATGCACAACATCCACAAATATATGTTCTCAATTATAGCCAACTTTCTATACTGTGGTCAGGCTGTAACATAAGTCTCACAGAGATTCCTCAACTAGCTTTAAAGTAGTTGGGGTCACATACAAGTAACAGTGGTGCTGCTACAATAAAATGCACCAAAGAAGGTGGAAAAATACTGAAGGGTTAGGGCGTTAACCCATCAGCAGAGGATTAAACATGACCGAGATAGTCGCTGCCCTCAGGTGACAGCCCCACCCCTGAGGAAAGTGCCCCATACCTTCCAGCAGTGTCGGTGAATGGCATAGAAATCCACATATACACCAACCCAATTTATAGCCCAGCATGCTAAGGTAAACAAGGAGCACCGATTCACATACCATTCAGCCATCAATGGCGGCAGGAAGGATGTGACAAGGGCAAAAGAGATAGCACCTGAGTTACTATCCCACTTAATCCATCATTACCCGTGCATGAAGACCATGTGACCATGATGCCATAAGCTTCACCACTCCACTCCTACCACTAGCAGTGGTGCCCAAACTTCAGTCATCCCTGCAGCCTGTACTCTCTTACTCTCCAATGTGATTGGAATCGCGTGCTCCAAATATGCCAGCAAAACAGTTTACTAGGGCAATACTTGGCAATAGCCAATTTTGAGTGAATATTGAATCTGCAGACACAATCACTGAAACAAAATGACACACAATCATCACAGGGACATGTGTGTGATGTGCATCCCTAAACAGACTTACAATACGTCATCAACTTAGTTCTTTTTTTGCTAATGGCTTTGTATCTAAGCTACAATAAAAACGTCAATTCCAAAAGGATACGGTGCTTACTAACGTGATTTCTCTAGCCCAGGGCAAATCCAATTGAATTATGTCATAAACTGCAGGCACGATATATATTCATACATCCGAGAAAGAGCAGCAAAACACTGTAACCAAATCTGGACTGCTGCTTCTACACTGGCAATCAGCTTACAGCATCTGGTATCAAAGCTCGATACCAGGTGCTGTTCTTCAGCATAGATAAACACTGCTATCTGCTAGTCACACATCAGCTAATAGTGGCAACAGTAATATATTATCTTCCCCTACTTTTGTTCGAATTCTTGGTCGACAACCAGAATTCCTTACCCCTGGATATCATTCTGCCATTGCTGGGTTGTGCTGGATAAACTGCACCCTTTTCAGAACAGCACTTACGTCTTACAAAGGGGTCTTCTGGCAAAGACACTGTACTGAGGTCTGTCAAACTGAGTTCTGTTGCTGATTCCGATACAGACTTCAGAGATGTCACACGAATTATTGGAGGAGGGCACTGCAGTCTGAATGAGAGAGGAGAGAGTTGGGAGATCAAACTACAAATCCCAACTCTGCCATTCCCTCATTCAGATAGCCTCTTATAGATTACAGTACCTCGTGAAAAAAACTGATCTGAGGAGACCGGATTCATCCCTAGATTTGGCACCCAACTCTTGTGCAACTCTTGAGCAGGTCATCTAAATTTCCAGACATTGGTCTCTCACTTCCATGGGAAGATGTTTCAGTAAAACTGGTTATGCTATTTTGGAATTAGGTGGCGTTCTTTAATGAACCCTTAACAAATTAACAAGGCTAACGTGCTGAATTCCTTGAACTGTGATCCCTCGAAATGCAATTCTTCTTCCATATTACTAACCATCTTACTGCTACCTCTTCAAGACAGGGAGGTGCCTTGGTACAAGTAAAGATAAGTCATATGAATACTTAAAAAAAAGTTTTGCAAATACTGTAATGTCAACAGTACACATCAGATACACCAGCTTCCTGGCACAGCTTCGAAAAGGGATAAAGCAGTAAGCATGGCAAGACTACCACTGGCAGGAGTTGCAGAAAGGGAGAATTAGCAGGTGGAGAGCAGAAGCCTTAGCAGATCACCTCGTCATGCACTATTACTAAAATTTACCACCTACTAAAGGTGGAAAAGAAGATGGAAGAAGAGAAAGATGTTTGGTTTTCATTTTGTTTGCAGAAAGAAGAGGAAGAGAAAAGGACTTATGATTATCTTATTGTCATGAACGACCACAGAGTTCATGCCCCAGTTTGGTGTACAGTACTTGCCATAAGCCATACAATGCATTCTAGACCAGGACTCCCAGAGTTGCTTGCACTGCTACCACTATCTACAACAGTAGCAGTAGAGATTCTACTAGTGACAACAGTAGCAGCTCCTGACTTTCTGTTGAGCCAAAAAGCAAACACAGGAGAAAGAGTGTTTCCAGCTTCATCCCTCAGTTGGATTGGACAAAGATTTGGGGATGCCTGACCCCAGTTCTCTGACCCTCAAGTTGATGCCAAGGTTTTTCACCAAATTTGAAATCAGTGCATTTGTCCTCCCCACAACAATCTTGAAAAAGTGTCAAGAAACTTGACAGTCTTCCACGATTAAAGACCTGTAGCCTGCCATCTCCCTGCAAAATGACATCCATGTTCTCCTCATCAACCAAGTGCTTCAGGTACTATTTAAATCTGCAACACCATGAGTGCCCAGAGTGGTGAACAAGCTGTACAGTTTTGGGCACAGCGTCTCAAGCAGGATGAGAACCAACTGGAGGAAGTCAAGAAAAGGTGAGTAGATCCAAGAAGCAGGACTCCCAAAGGAAGACTAAACTAGCAAGGATTTTTGAACCAAAAAAGGAGGACAGGGATTTCTCAGATATGTTAAAGGCCATTTTAAGAAGGAAGATGATAGGTCTGTTCTCCCTGTCTGTAGAGACAGGAGAAGCAAAGGGCTTAACTGCAGCAAGGCATGTGGATGTTAGTAATATTGTAAGATAAGGAACCACACAGAATGGACCAGATAAGGAGATTGTGGAGTCCCCAATATTTAAGGCACTTAAGAATATATTAAGCAGACACCCAACATAAATATCAGTGATCCCACTCTAGGACAAAGGGAAGAATGAATTATATGATCTCTGGAGGACTCTTCTAATACTCTGACACTTTGGGAAGTGAGTACAAGCACATGCAAGAAGGCTGCTAATGCAAGGTGTATATCTACACGATTCATCTAGCAAAGCCTGCCTAGTCTTCTCAGGAAACCTCTTACTTACCTGTCATGGAACCCTAGACCCATATACCTGCAGTTCCAAAACCACTCCTTCCAACCCATCCATCTCCTACAGTCCCACAAAGCTCTTGGCTCAGAGTTATAAATGATGCAATGATGATTGATTCTCAGTAAGTAATGCACAGGAAGAAAGATCTAGAAAGTGAGCCTGGAGCTAAGCACCAAAAACTGACAACAGGAGACATCAGGCAGATTAGAAACCACATGTAGAAACCACAGTCAGAGCTAGCAACTCAGCAGTTGCAAAACCAGCAGTGTTGGGTCATGAAGCATCAACCATGGGCTGAATATCGCTCAAAACCACCCCACCGACCATCAATGGAACACAATTTCAGAACATGCAGAACATGATACTCCATTATGGAGGTGTTCCCAAGAAGGAACCATTTTTCAGAACCTTAGATTCACCTTTCCCATTTAGAATGCTGCAGTTTCTTTCCATTCACATCATGGAGTGTTTTGTTTCTTAATAACAGCAACCAAAATTTTATCTCGGAGGAAATTCATCACTCTCCTGTGCTAAGAAATAGCACAAAATTTGGAGAACTGGCTTTGGCCTTGGTGATTATCAACTCACACAAAGGGCAAGTAGCCTCTTCATATTTTATTTATCTTGATTTTTTTAAAACAAATTTATATTTACTATTTTCCAAAAATCCATTATAACAACAAATGCTACACATATCCCCATAGGAGCCTTTTTCAGGCTTCTTTGGGTGTGGTACATCTTGAAGTACAAAATAAATTTAAGAAAGAAAACCTCTCCAGGATGGCCTATGAAGACCAAGTAAACCTACATCAAGTGCAGTGGTAGATGCTGATGCCAACACATTTCAGAGATTAAAAAAAAATATTACTCATTTCTACTGCTAAAGTATTCTATTCCTTTGACTATTGAAAACACAATAGAACAAGTGCACTGACTCAATGACAAATGCTAGTTTCATAATTAGGGTGGAGCATGCAAGCAACTATAAAGGTTGCCCCAATCTGAGACTCTCACTTCTGCTGGATACATTTGAAAGCTCTGGATTTTGAGTGAGGTAAGCATAACCTAAACAGATTGGGTGTTTCAAATCTTTGAACCTAACTTAGATTATTTTTTTCCTTGGGAGAGTTGATCCAGATTTACATTAAAACAAAGAAACAAACAAAACCAATTCTTTTCATCTAAGTTAAGTATGAATCATTTCATATGGTCAGTAAACCAATGAACAGGGTGTCAGATGTATTTCAAAATTCTGACGCACAGGATTGTTATTGTCTGCTTTGTTTGCAGCTGTTCTTCAAGACAACATCTGAGAAACATGGAACATTTACTCAACGATAACCTTCTGAAGTATTTTACTCAGTATGCTTTAATGGAGGGTAGCACCAGTGCACTGTCCATTGGTGGGCTGAAAAATCTACTTCAGAATCAATTTGCACAGTACCTGAAGGTAAGTTTCACTTTAATTATAGTCACTGTGCTTGCTATAAAGTGGATAGGAAAATGGAAATACAGGCAATTACATTGCAAGGCAGATTATGGTGCTCAAATGTTTTCACTGACTCCATAAATAATCCTTAAATAAGGGTCAGCTTATAAAACTTCATTCACACTAATGAGCAGTAGCTCCAAACAGACATCTGAGTAGGGAGTTTATAACAAAGCCCTATGAAATAAAATGCAAAAATCTAAGAAGCTCTTTTATTTGGATTTTTTTATGTAAGCCAAATTTCACCTAGAATATTGCATCTGAGTCTTAGGAAATACTTTTTGTTTCAGTCCAAATAATAAATCTTGAAACTAGAAAATATATGGAAAAATCTATAAACCAAGTATATCAGTAGGACAAATTTAAAAGTAAGAGACATGAGCTAATTTCTATCTAAAATAAGTTCCCACCATCGCAAAATAAAAGAAGGTTTGCCATTCCAGAAAGATGCCAAGGAAAGAAAAGAGATACCACCAAGCCAGCGAGAGAAATACTATTTCCCATAGCTGGAAAAAAATCTAGGTTCTGATTTCATATATTTTCTCTGCCAGACCTTTCCTGAACTGGATTAGGACTCAGTTTAGATTCTTTTGCTAGACAAATCCTTAAATACTGTGTTGTGGATAGCTGACAAAAGCAATTTTTGCTAAAGGTCTGAAAGAAGTTGGCCCTCAACAGAAAAATCTAGTGTTTTGAGAACTACAGTAATCCAGTTTAGTCATTTCAGTAACGTGAAGTGGCTAATTGGAAAAAAAAAATGAAACAAACTAATAAAATAGAAATTTTCCCTTAAAAAAAGTCAGAAATTAATTGCCAAAAGTTCATACAAAATGTGATGGCAAATTCAGAAATATAATTATTTTTATATTAGCTGTAGACAATTTAGCACCATACCCATTTTCCCAAATATGTGGAAATGGAAGTGGTTAGGAAAAGTAATAGTGATGTTTTCTGTCTGGATATCAGACATTTTCAAGAATCTACTCTATTTGCAGAAATACATGGCACCATAATAAATCAACATAAAAGCAGGACAGGACATTACAAAACATGCACAGACATGAAGTATGAGGAAAGAAAACATTTTAAAAATTTAAATCAAAACTGTTTTTATATTATTTAACTAGCCAGGGATGGTATAAGAATACTCACTGCATCAGGATGTTACATGCACTATTTCCAGACTCAACAAGTAAAAGGAACTAATAGTCTAACTTAGATTTAATACA